TTTCAAAACCATTATCTCTGGTATCTAGATGCAAGCATTTTACTCCATGGGATTTTATAGGAGATCTATCAGAGAATGAGGCTCTCTTCATGGATAGCTATTTACTTTTTAATTAGCAAAAATCATGACTTACAGCAAGTCTGAAATAGTACAAATTACTTCAAATGCCTCTACTCAAACATTTCCAAGGTGAGGAAAATGATGGCAGGTTTCTTTCTTTATACTAACCAGTTTACACACTTCCTAGTCTTTTCTTTGTATAATCGCTAAAAGGATAAATCTAATGATCATCTAACCAGTCAACAACTACATGGGATTATTGTAATGTATCAGGTACTGAAAAAGATATTAGAGAGGCAGGAAGAGGTCATTGTCCTTAGGAACCCATTGTCCTTAAGAACAAACATTGTTTGTTACCAGGATAATCATTTCTACAATTTAGTTTATTTTAGCATAAACAGGTTTTTGAGTTTATCTGGATAATTTTTTCAACTTCAAAGTTCCTTGGCTTGTCCGGTCCCAGCCTTTTTCTGGGAAAGGGCACAACCCAGCACTTCTTCAAATATTCATAGTAATTTATGATTCTATAAATTAACTTGCTTGATAAGGGCTACTGGGGCTTGAGTTTCCAGCAAGGGCACCCCAAGTTCCCAATACATTGAAAACATTTGTGTTGACCTGCAGTTTTCCCCTGCTCATTCCCCACGCCCAAGTTTTGGGGTGTGTGAGATTTGCCCCTCAGAGGTTTTCTGTTTTTGTGGAAACTGGCAGATAACCCGTCCTTCCCTTCAACATTAGCCCAGTTACTGAATCACAGTCATAATTAGCAACATACCCATTTTCCCATTTATTTTGAGAACCAGAAGTACTTTGTAATCATGAATTACTGAACCAGGCCAGGTCCTGGTCTTGTTGTCCTATCCCTGTTGCTAAAACTAGCCATACTGAGTCAACTAAGGAGAGTTTTTAATATATATTATCATTTGCAGATATCTCCTCCCAAACATGTATTGGTAGAGATGTATGTACTACCTCTATGTGCTTTGCAGCACTACTCAAATAGCCAAGGCATGGAAACAATCTAAGTGTCCTTTGGCAGATGATTGGGTAAAGAAGAGGTGATAAAGATGTAATGGTGTCCTACTCAGCCATAAAAAGATGAAATGTTACCATTGGCAACAATATGGATGGATCGTGAGGGTATCATGCTAAGTGAAATACAAGGACAGAACAGTATGATTTCACTCATATGTGGGATGTAAAACAAAAAGCAAAAAACAAACCCATAGATGACAGACAGCAGAGTGGTGGTTACCAGAGGTGGGGGGAAGAGGAAGAAGATAAAAGGATTCAAATATATATGGTGACGGAAGGAGACTAGACTTTGGGCGGTGAGCACACAATGGAGTATGCAGATGTTGTGTCATAAAGTTGTACACCTGAAATGTATATAATGTTATTAACTGATGTTGCCAAAAGTAAATGAGAAAAAAAAAAAAAGACCCAGCTTCTTGGTGGTTCTGGAGTCATGGTCACAGACTGCAGCGGGGAGCCTGAGGAACCACGGAACACGTTTGGAAATAGAGCCGTAGAATTCCCTCAGCCTCAGAGGACCTGACTGGGGCAAAATCCCCAAACGAAACCATTCCTAACCACCCACTCCTGGAACAAGAAGAAACTCTGCTTTAAGGGACGTTTAATTGAGCCACTAACACATGGCAAGGAGCAGAAGAAGCTCATTTCAGCCTCTGGACTCACTCACCTGGCAAACTAGGCATAGCATGTCATAACGGTCTCATAAAACACACCCAGTTGTCCTTTATTCCTTAATGAACACCTTAAAAGCTGACAATGTGAAGATGATCGCACCAAACCAGAAAGGAATTGGCATGTTTATCAGCCAACACCACAACTTCCTCACAGAAACAGAAGAAATCGTGTGGAGAGGAAAAGGGCTGCTGAATACAGAAGGAAAAGGCAAAAAAATAGTGTTATCAGGAGCTCCTTTCAACCTCTGAGGAAGAAAGTAACGAAGTAAACGCAAGCGAATGCTGTCCAGTGGGAAGGAATCTTAGACCTGTGACCCTTTCGTCGGCTTCCCCTCCGTAGCATAGACTGGCTGAGTGTGGAGCACTTAGGGGGAGTCCGCAGTGCCTTCCTCTCTTAGATTGTCTCATTTAATCCTGCTAACACCCCATGAGGAAGATGCCATTTCCACCCCCGTTTACAGAGGAGGAAACTGAAACACAGAGAGGGAAAGTAATTTTCAGAAGGTCACACAGCTATTAAGTTCAGTGCCAGGGTTACAAACCAGGAATTCTGATTTTATAGCTGTGTTTTGTGCCACTACACTATACTGCCTTTTCCTCTGCTACCTCTTCAAGCAATCGTTCTCAACTTGGGAATTAGCACTTAGTGAGCTTTTACCTATTAGGATCATCTGAAAACAAAAACAAACTAACAAAAAACACAGCGAACACAAGCCTGTTTGGGGGACCGCATTATACCTGGGTATGAGCCTGTGTTGAATTTCCATTTGCCTGTGTGAATTCCTGCTTTCTATGGAGCCATAGCCTTGCAGAGACAGGGATTTGGTTATTGTTGTCATTTGCTTCTGAGAGTCTCATGCCCTAATTCTCCATGGACTGAAGACAATCTCTGAATCTAGCTTTTACCCCTTACTTACATCTCTCCTGGGCCTTTTGCCTTTTTATTTCATTGGCTGTCAATTCTCATCAGCTGTTTTATTTCCTCAGTTCTTTATGAATTTAAAGTGGTGGGAAAGTGGAGACACAGGGTTCCCTGCCTTCCAAACATTAATTAACTATCTGTGTTCCTACCGTTTTGAGGTTGTACAAGTCATTTTATAAAAAACTGACCACGTATAAAATCAGTCTCCTCTCAAATATCCCTCCCTTCTTAACTCTAGGTCCTATCACCTTCCTTCCCAATGCCCTGGAGGAAAACGCAGCATTACTGCAAAGTGCAATCACAAATGTTGCAAAAGATGCTGTATTTTACGTAGTTGAGCAAAGTGATGGGGGAAATGGCAAGTCATGGACAAATGGGGACAGGGCAGAGTTAAACCAGGTATTATTAAAGAGGAGGAAATCTGAGAGAATTAGGACAGATTGATGATTCAAAAGAGAAAGATTTATTTCAAAGGACTAAGAGAGACCCTTGGGAAACTGCTACACCTTTCACATATATAAAATAAATCTCTTTGTGGTTGTGTGGTTAAAGTAAATGAAGAATGTTATGCCACCAAATAATTTTGAAATGAACTTTTAATTTTGGAATAATGCTATATTTATAGAAACATTCCAACTATGATACAGAGAATTCTTGTCTACCCCTCACCAGTTTTCCCTAATGTTCCATTAACATGGAACATTTGTTAAAACTAAGACATCTGCATATTATTATTAACTAAGCTGCAAATTTTATTCAGATTTCACCAATTTTTTGTTATAATGCACTTTGGTGTTCCTGGATCCAATTTAGGATACCGCACTGCATTTAATATCTAGTAATTTTGTCAGAAAATATAGTTAACAAAAATCCCAACCAGAAATTGATTCTGTTCTGATTCATACTAAGAATTAGTGTGCTGCATTTAAAATCAGAATTATGTTAATATATGATAAAATAAAATTTTAATCCTATTACTTTCTTTCAATTTTCAAACTGGAGAACCAATCAGACCATTTTTACACAATTTACTTCCCATTTGAAGAAATTTAACTTTAATCAGGTGTTTTTTTTTTATGCTTCTAACTATCGTTAGATGACTACAATAGATGGTTAGCGAAGCTTCCTTAAAATACGCAAAAGAATATGTGATTAGGATCTGTGGATAAAAAAAGTAAGTAACTTTGATGTTTGTATAATCAGTGGAACTGTGTGTAATATGCATATTGTTCCTTTGAGCTACAAGTTAAATAAATGAATAAAGCAAGACTAGTTTTGATACAGTGTAGAACCCACAGATGAAGCAGTGTCAGGTTATTCTTGGGAATGGCGGGAGGCAGTTTTAAAGTCACAGCACAGAGCTATATGCAGTTCATAGGAAGGATTCATTCTGAGTAATAAAAAATGTATTTATTTTAATTATGCCTATAAACATTGATGTTTGAGGGATGGCTACTATTATGTGGCAAGGTTTTAGGGGATTTGACAGGAAAACGACAGGATTTAATTTCTTAAATAAGCACTGCTTTAGCACAATTTTTTTTCCAAATGGCTAATTTTAGGAAAGTTTTCAAATTCCATCTTTATTCCATTTTTTGTTGTTGTTGTTAATCCTCACCCGAGGATATTTTTCCATTGACTTTTAGAAAGAGTGGAAGAGAGAGGAAAATACAGAGAGAAACATCGAGGTGAGAGGAACACATGGATTGGTTGCTTTCTGCAGGAGCGGTGACCAGGTCTGGGCCTGCACCCAAGGTACATGCCCTTGACTGGAATCAAACTCCGGACACTTTGGTCCGAAGGCTGTTGCTCTATCCACTGAGCCAAACTGGCTAGAGCCCATTTTTCTAAATCATTTAGGACCATAAAGCACAGTGAAGTGAAGGTGAGTGCTATAGTCTGAATGCTTGTGACTCCCACCCTGCCCCAAATTCATAAATTGAAATCCTGCTGCGCCAGCTAATGGGATTAGGAGCTGGAGCTTTGGGGTGGGATTAGGTCCTGGGGGTGGAGCCCTCATGAGGGGATTAGGTCCTGGGGGTGGAGCCCTCACGGATGAGATTTGTGCCCTTATAAAGGAGGCCTGAGAGAGCTGCCTGCCACATTCCCCAAGAGAACACAAGAAGTCAGAAGTCTGCAATTGGAAGAGGGCCTGCACCGACCGACCGACCGACCGACCATATAGGTACCATTGTAAGATACGATTTTTGCCTTCATAGTTCATAGTGAGTCCCATGTGGTGTGACTAGTTATGTGCAGGAGGACCACCTTGCACCTTGTCATATTTTAAAATTAGTTTGATTGTGACACTAGCACTGCATAGAATCTTGACTTCATTGCTTTCATCAAAAGATGATTTAATTCTAAGGGTAACTTGAAAGGATAATTGTTGGAGTTGGCAACTGATGAAAGATTGAAAAAGAATAGTGAAAATATATCATTTGTTTCATTTTAGATAAAAGTTAAAGACGAACATTCGGAGAATTTCGCTCTTCTGCTCCTGTGGAGAGGATGGCTCTGAAGACCGTACCCAAGGACACGCGGCATCTGCGGGCTTGTTTGTTGTGTTCGCTGGTCAAGACTATAGACCAGTTTGAATATGATGGTTGTGATAATTGTGATGCATACCTTCAGATGAAGGGTAACCGAGAGGTGGTGTACGACTGCACCAGCTCTTCCTTTGATAGAGTCATTGCAATGATGAGTCCAGAGGACAGCTGGGTCTCCAAGTGGCAGCGAGTCAGTACCTTTCAGCCTGGAGTGTATGCAGTGTCAGTCACTGGTCGCCTGCCCCAAGGAATCGTGAGGGAGCTGAGAAGTCGAGGAGTGGCCTACAAATCCAGAGACACAGCTATAAAGACCTAGCAAGATGTATGGCTGCCAGTGTCTTTGCCACCGCCTCCTGCCTCTGCTTATTTATTGTTGTGAAACTAAATGGACAGAGCTTCAAATACTCCTCACTCTCCAATTCTGAGGCTCAACAGACTGATAAGAGAGCAGCACAGCATGTTCCTGGGCCATTTTCTCTTTTTGGACTACTAGTTGGGGTAGTAGTCCTGAACCTCAATGAGGGTCAGGGTCGGTTTGAAGTCAATGTGGCGGAGCTTCCTGAAGAAATGGACATCTCCACATACATGGAGCTGAGACGCTAACCACACACCTGACATCCCGGAGCCACCCTGCTTCCCACGTGCTGCTTCAACTCACTCCTCTTTCTAGGCGACACTGGGCTTTCTTTTTCTGTTCAAACACCGTACATTTGTGTCACAATAAATTTGTATTATGCAAAAATAAATACAAATATGGCCTTGTAATTTGCTTCTTCCCCCCACTTTTCAAGTCAGTCATATATATATATATATATATAATAATGCTAGATAGAAACATTCCAACTATTATACAGAGAATTCTTGTCTACCCCTCACCAGTTTTCCCTAATGTTCCAGTAACATGGAACATTTGTTAAAACTAAGACGTCTGCATATTATTATTAACTAAGCTGCAAATTTTACTCAGATTTCACCAATTTTTTGTCATAACGCACTTTGATGTTCCTGGATCCAAGTTAGGATACCACACTGCATTTAACATCTAGGAATTTTGTCAGAAAATATAGTTAGACAAAAATCCAAACCAAAACTGGATTCTGTTCAGCTTCTTCCTAAGAATTAGTATACTGCAGTTATACTCAGAATTATGTTAATAGATGATAAAATAATTACAATCCTATTACTTTCTTTCAAGTTTCAAACTGGAGGACCAATCAGACCATTTCTTACACAATTTACTACCAAATGTACTTCCCATTTGTAGAAATTTAACTTTAACCAGTTTTTTTTTTATGCCTCTAACTATGCTTAGATAACTACAATAGATGGTTAGCGAGGCTTCCTTAAAATACGAAGAAGAATTTGTGATCAGGATCTGTGGATTAAAAAAGTAAGTAAGTTTGATGTCTGTATAATCAGTGGAACTGTGTGTAATATGCATATTGTTCCTTTGAGCTACAAGTTAAATAAACGAATAAAGCAAGACACATTTTTTTTTCCCAAATGTATTTTATTTTATTTAATTTATTTATTTATTTATTTTTTTTACAGAGCGGAAGGGAGAGGATAGAGAGGTAGAAACATCGATGAGAGAGAAACATCGATCAGCTGCCTCCTGCACATCTCCTACTGGGGATGTGCCCGCAACCCAGGTACGTGCCCTTGACCGGAATCGAACCCGGGACCACCCAGTCCGCAAGCTGATGCTCCATCCACTGAGCCAAACCGGGTTTCGGCTTAAATGTTTTATCTTAGTCCAATCCACATGATCTCACTTCTCCAGAGGAGGAGAGTGTGACACAAAGTGATAACCACCTTGCCCCCAGTCACCAACTTGGTTCCTTAATGTCTGGAGAGGGGGGAAGAAGTCACTGATGAGTCTCCTCCGGGATATCCTGCAGGCCTTGCAGTTCTCTAAGCCCCTCTAGCATCATGTGGATATGGGCTTTGATATTCATCGAGTCCTTGGTGAGGCTGTTGCTGAGCTCTGTGAGGAGATTGCTCTTACGGTGAATAAACTTGAGAGCTTCTGCCAGTGTCAACTCCAGGAAAAAACCACATCCAATGGCCACATAGATCCGTGAGGTGTCTGAGACAACTGTGTCAACGAAGAAATTACATCCCAAATCCACCTGCATATGTAACTCTGAGCGGTTAGCTTCCTGGAGATGCTCAATGACATTTCTCAGTTGAAGGTATTTGGACAGCTCCTCATATACCTTGTCACGATGATCCAGTACCTTTTGCAGGTCCCGATGCAGCACATCAGAGATGAAGGCTTCATAGCGCAGCACTTTCTCCCCCATGGCCTGCTGCTTAGGGGGCGTCTCCATGATGCACTCCTTAGAGCCCTGGGCAATAAGAAAGCCCCAGCAGGTCCAGGGGTCCCCAAAGGTGTGGACGGAGTCGGCGAAGCAGGAATGACACGGAGACAGGGTTCAGTTGATCAGCAGCCTCGCCAGGATCTCTAGCCAAGCTCTGTGTTGGATTGCCTTATTGCATGTGTATTTATGCCGGTTGACTTTAATCCTGTCAATCTCTATTCCAAAGGTTAGGGCGTTTCTTACCTCCATTCCAGGGAGTAAAGATTATGTAGCTTAAGTGTGATTGTTCATAGTTAAAGTGATTAACTACCCACGCCTGGCACTTAGTTAAGGGGTTTTATTCCCTCCCCAACTTCAGGGAAAAATCCCTACCTGGGGAAACAACCTTTCTTGGAGAGGTGACCTTGGTTAAAACACATAGTGCCAAGAAGGTGAGCAAACATATTAAGAACAGTATGCCATATACGCCAGGTCCCTTGAAACATATGCTGTGCAGATGTTTCTTCCCTGCAGCGACTGTGTCAAGCAGCAAGGATGGACTGGCTTCCGGTACACAGTGAAATGAAGATGAGTGCTATGGTCTGAATGGTTGTGACTCCCACCATGCCCCAAATTCATAAATTGAAATCCTATTGGGCCAGCTAATGGGATTAGGAGCTGGAGCTTTGGGATGGGATTAGGTCCTGGGGGTGGAGCCCTCACGATGGGATTTGTGCCCTTATAAAGGAGGCCTGAGAGAGCTGCCTGCCACATTCCCCAAGTGAGAACACAAGAAGTCAGAAGTCTGCAATTGGAAGAGGGCCTGCACCGACCGACCGACCGACCGTCCATATAGGTACCATTGTAAGATACGATTTTTGCCTTCATAGTTCATAGTGAGTCCCATGTGGTGTGAACTGTTCTAATCATGTGCAGGAGGACCACCTTGCACCTGGTAATATTTTAAAATTAGTTTGATTGGGAGACGTCATTCTCCCGCGCCAGTGCCAGCTCAGAGGTTCGGCGGAGCGGTCCCTCTCTGGCTTGGCTTTCTAGGACAGTTCCCAGTTGCCAGGGCCTCTGACCTGAGAGCGAGGAGGAAAGCGGCGAGATGACGGACCGCTACACCATCCACAGCCAGCTGGAGCACCTGCAGTCCAAGTACATCGGCACGGGCCACGCCGACACCACCAAGTGGGAATGGCTGGTGAACCAGCACCGCGACTCCTACTGCTCCTACATGGGCCACTTCGACCTCCTCAACTACTTCACGGTTGCGGAGAACGAGAGCAAAGCTCGAGTCCGCTTCAACGTGATGGAGAAGATGCTGCAGCCCTGCGGACCGCCGAGCCGACAAGCCCGAGGAGAACTGAGGTCCCGCCGTTCGCGCTGTGCGGGAGAGCACCCCTGTTCCTCCGGTGTGCCGACCTCCGCCTGCCCTGACCCGGGGGACCGGTTCTGTGTGCCTCCGGCAGCTCCCCGAACCGACGTGCTTCCTCCGGGCGCCTCTCCTGACCTGCCTTCCTGTGGACCCTCGGAACACAGCGTTGGGGCCCCTGAGAACTGTGACCTTGGCGGCCCTAAAGCCAGCGAGCGTCAGGGGAGATGGCACTGGAGTGAGACGGAATAGGGAGGCTCGCTTTTAGCCAGTTGATCGTCGCTGTTGGTTTTCCCATAAAGTTCAGAAAATGTTCCAAAAAAAATCAATGAAATTAGTTTGATTGTGACACTAGCACTGCATAGAATCTTGACTTCATTGCTTTCATCAAAAGATGATTTAATTCTAAGGGTAACTTGAAAGGATAATTGTTGGAATTTGCAACTGATGAAAGATTGAAAAAGAATAGTGAAAATATATCATTTGTTTCATTTTAGATAAAAGTTAAAAACGAACATTCGGAGAATTTCGCTCTTCTGCTCCTGTGGAGAGGATGGCTCTGAAGACCGTACCCAAGGACACGTGGCATCTGCGGGCTTGTTTGTTGTGTTCGCTGGTCAAGACTATAGACCAGTTTGAATATGATGGTTGTGATAATTGTGATGCATACCTTCAGATGAAGGGTAACCGAGAGGTGGTGTATGACTGCACCAGCTCTTCCTTTGATGGAATCATTGCAATGATGAGTTCAGAGGACAGCTGGGTCTCCAAGTGGCAGCGAGTCAGTACCTTTCAGCCTGGAGTGTATGCAGTGTCAGTCACTGGTCGCCTGCCCCAAGGAATCGTGAGGGAGCTGAGAAGTCGAGGAGTGGCCTACAAATCCAGAGACACAGCTATAAAGACCTAGCAAGATGTATGGCTGCCAGTGTCTTTGCCACCGCCTCCTGCCTCTGCTTATTTATTGTTGTGAAACTAAATGGACAGAGCTTCAAATACTCCTCACTCTCCAATTCTGAGGCTCAACAGACTGATAAGAGAGCAGTACAGCCTGTTCCTGGGCCATTTTATCTTATTTGGACTACTAGTTGGGGTAGGAGTGGTGTGGGTTGATGGATTAACAGAGTGAATTGTATGTGGAGTACGATGTTTTTTTCCTACCCACACCTCTGGCTGCCTCCTTGCCCATGGTCAGGACTCTATCAAATGCCAATGTGAACCCATAGCTCATGAAAAAAAACAAAAGAAAAACAACAATGAATATTCGTAGCTTGCTGAAATTACTTTAGATATTCTTCTTCCAAATATTGTATTTCAACTGTAATTGAAAAAAAATCCCAAAACTCTTCCTTCATTCGCATCAATTTATCTTTGTGAGACCAAGCTCATGCTGCATGGGCTGCAGCAGCACTATGTCAAGCTCAACGAGAGAGAAAAGAACCGTAAACTCCTCGACCTCCTGGACGTGCTAGAGTTTAACCAGGCGGTGATCTTCGTGAGGTCGGTGCAGCGCTGCATGGCCCTGGCCCAGCTACTCGTGCAACAGAACTTCCCAGCCATCGCCATCCACAGGGCCATGGCCCAGGAGGAGCGCCTAGCACGCTATCAGCAGTTCAAGGACTTTCACCGGCGGATCCTGGTGGCCACCGATCTGTTTGGCCGAGGGATGGACATTGAGCGAGTCAACATCGTCTTCAATTATGACATGCCTGGGGACTCGGACACCTACCTCCACCGGGTGGCCCGGGCCGGTCGCTTTGGCACCAAAGGCCTGGCTATCACTTTTGTGTCTCATGACA